CGGAGTCCCTCCGGGAAGAGGGTGTCCCGCCGGGAGCGCCCCGGGCTCCGGGATAATCGCCTTGCTTTGCAGCGCTCGCAGGGCCGAGGCTCCCGGCCCCGCTGTCAGAGCCGGGGGTGTCACAACACCTTCCCCGCTCCTCGCCTTGTGTCGCGGGGAGGGCCGAGGGAAGGGGCTGGGGAGCCCTGGCTCGCAGTGTGGGTGGCGTGTGGGCACTGGGCTGCGGATTCTGGTGTAAAACCTCCACTGTCCTTGTGTTTCCTTTGGTTTGCTTCTAACAGGGTTTTGAAAGGGTATTTTTGAGTATGTTCAGACTGGAAATAAGGGTGTTTCTGTTTGTATTGTTCACCTGACAAAAGACTCTTGTGTCTTGCACAGTACGTTGCAAAGCCTTTTCCAAACTTTAAATTCTAGGGAGCAGGAGGGGTCTCGGCATGACTCAGTAATGTAGAGTTTGGGGCAGAGAAGGCAATCCGCGCGTGGTGGAATAGGCTGGGTGCGAATATAATCCCCTCTCAGCCTTGGCTTGGTCTGCTGACCCACGCGTACACACAGGTGTTCACAAACAATTGCTGTTTGTGTTCGTGAACACAGAGCGCAGCATTGCCGGATTTGTGAATGGCTTGTGAAGGATGGATTCGAGCTGGCTGTGCTGTTTCCTAGTGTTGGGAAAATATAACAATTTGGAGCAGGGAGATAAGGAAAGTGACAACAAGTGTGACATCTGGAGTCACAGTCCTCTGGTTCTGTGCTCTGCAAATAAAAACCTAGGGTTTGTTGGTTTGCTCAGATGGTCACGAAATAGTTTGTTGTTTTCTAGGAAAGGACCGTAGAAATCTTTCCAAGCTTCTGTTGTTAGAAGCATGGTGGTTTGTGTTTTGGTACAGAATTTAAAACAGGAGTCTAGTCATGAAGGTATTACGTTGTCTGCAAACTGGGTGCATCTTTGAAGGCAGACGTGCTTATTAGCTGGAAAGACAAAGCAGGAGAACCAAATGTTTCCATTTTCCTGTTGGAAATACCGTCTTTAAGAATTATAAAGTCGGTATTAATGAGGACTAATTGGTAATTTGGGCCTTCAGTGTAAAACTGGTAAATGGTTTTTGAAGTGGTGATTGGTGGGTGTTTGCTTGCCAAGGCCTCACAGGACGGAGCTGTATGAGGACTCACCGTCGGGATGCTGGCCCATCGTGTATTCCCCAGACTACAACATCACCTTCATGGGACTTGAGAAGCTGCACCCCTTTGATGCAGGGAAATGGGGGAAAGTCATCAATTTCTTGAAAGGTAAAATAACAGAAGGTGACACCTAAACCAACATTTGCACAAATCCTAAAGAAAATTATGTGGTTAGTGCAGACTTATGTGTGGCTTACCAGACCTGAATTGCAGTGCGTGGTTTCCCTGACTTTACACTTGGTATAGCAGGAACTGAGGCATTCCTCTGGCTGGTGAAACACCAGATGTTTGCTGCAGGTGTAACTTAAGTTACTCAACCTGGACTCTGCACAGGGCTTCTCAGGCTGAAGGAGAAGTGCAGCTGTGGCACTTTCCTCCATTCTTTAGCAGTCCCATCCTATTGCTCTGATGATGTTTGGAAAGAGCTTTGAGGCCCCTCTGGTACAGGCAGATTTTTTTATGATGGTTCTAATTACTGGTGTTTGAACCATTTGGAGAATATAGGCAAAAATGAATTAATACATGCAAATGTGAGAACCAGGGGCAGGATCAGGGCCTGCGTCAGATCTTGGCATCTCTTAATTTAAAGCACAAACTTGCTCATCAGTGGTAAAAAAAAAAAAAAAAAGGCGAAAAAAAAAGGGCTTTTTCTCTTGCCAAGACAAAGGCTGCTGGTTTTTCTAAAGCCAGGTCTCATGTCGTTATTTGGTCCTAATGACTCCTTCAGCTGATGATCCTTTGCAGTTCAGTATAGCCCTTCTTTTAACTGCGGTCAAATAATTTGAGCATTCTGTCAATTTAGTAGCTGAGTTTAGGCTTTTTCCTGTAACAACCTTAAATAATTTTGTCTTGGGTTCCACGACAGTTTTCCTCATTAATCAGAACCTTTGTCCTTCTGTTTCTTCTGTGTAAAGTCTTTTCCTCCAGCTCTTTTCTGTGTGACAGATCTGTTCTGAAGTGTCAGAGGCTTTCACAAAAAACCAGTTTTCCCAATTTTTTACTGTCCTGGCTTTGAAAGGGGGAAGAAGCCCCAGGATACCCCAGAGCACTTGGCTCTGTAGCAATTCCTGGCAACAGCTTACCTCCCCTGTGCCTTATCACTGAACAGATCAGCAGTGGCCATCTTTCCAGAGTGCCTTCTTCCTGGAGAAGAAAGCTGGCAGCAGTTTGGCTCTGTTTGACACCAGTGCATGAATGAATTGTTCCTCAAGCCTCAGTCAGGAGAAAGAGAAACTTGCCAAAAGAAATGTTGTTGCAGGTGCTGTTCCTGTATAACACTTAAGAGCAAAATCTCTCCCATTTCCAAGTTGTTCTCTTTCTCCTCCAAGTATAAAATTAAAGAAGAGATAGAGGCTTAGAAGGCTACAGCCGTGCAGCAATTAAATATCAAAATATGCCTGGGAAGATTGACAGGATTCCTTGTAATTGTTGTTTGTAGTGATCATATGCACTTATTCTGAATCCTTGGAGTAACTTGCTCTTATCAAATTAAGTTTTAAAACAATCTTTTGGACTCTAAGGGAAAGAATTAATAGCTGCTCATTGTTTTTTCTTGAAATCAGATTGAGGGTAGGTGGTGATAGAAATATCCTAATTAAGCTTATTTGCTTCTGTGAACATCCGAGCCATTACTTTGTTCTGAATTTTGATTTATCACTTTATTCTGTGATTTAGGGGATTAAATCCTAGTATAAACTGTGGGATTTCGTAAAGCATGTTAAAATAATGGTGACTATTTGATGGTACAAACACCAAGATTTACCCACTGCACCAAGCCCTAAACTGTGAGGAGTTGTGTGATTCCAGTGTGTGTTCATTCTGTCATTACTTCTCTGTCCTTTCAGTTCAGAGAAGAACTTGCCATGATCTTAGCACACTCTGAAAACTTTCTGTGCACAGTATTTCTCAAATACACACTACCCAAACAGTTTACCTGTGACAGAGGGGCTGTATTTAGAAAACTTGCAAGCTCTGAGCAAGCTAAAGCCGTTCCAGCAATAAACATGACAGAGGAAGTTATAACACCAAGGTCAGAGTAGAGTGTTTGGAGGGGGGACGTGGGAACCTAAGTAGTACAATGTACCATGTCAATTGTTATTTCTCTCCTGTTGCAGAAGAAAAACTAATTGCAGATGACTTGATTGTGCAGGCACGGGAGGCAACTGATGAAGATCTCTTGGTTGTTCACACCAGGCGCTACCTTAATAAATTAAAGGTGCTGTACCTGTTCATGTGTTTTTCTAGCAAACAGTCCAGAGTGAGTGTCAAAGGCAGTGGATGTCTTGTACAGTTGTTTTAAATCAGCCTTACAGATATAGCATGGTATCTGTTGATCACACTGATGAAACTGTTACTGAGAATACTGAAAGAAAACCACAGAAATATTGGGCAGTTCACACTACAGAGGGGTGGATGGGAAAGAGGCTCTACCATGTTAAATAGGTGACCTGAAAGGATATTACAGGGAAGATTAGAATGTCTGAGATGTCAGTAATATTCTTGTTAGTGCCAGGTTTTTAGTGTTGAGAGGTGTAAGTTTTGTTGTACTCTGGTAAAATACAGTTCTGAAATTGAAAATACAATAGAAACCACTAACATGGGATAGCTTTATGGGGTTTACGGTTATGTAACCTTGACAGATTGTAGGGGTTCTGTGGTTAGGGTGTTGGGGGGAAGTACTGGCTTCATACTCAGACACTGCCTGCATCAGTGGAGTATGGAGAGAGTTGAAAGATCAATGTAAGTACCTAATCAAGCACAATATTTGTTGTGAAGGTTTCCAGAGCCAGCACACATAGAACTTCAGGGGGGATGAAGAACATTGCTTGTATATTTCTAAAGGAAACAACTGTTTGTTTAACTTGAGTGTAACTCTGAAACATAAATGTGAGATTTTTGGATCTGAATCTGTCCAGTCATCTGTGGGTGGAATTGGTTAGTAGATGAGTGCAGGTGACATTACTTTCACTTTGCAACTGTGCTTGGAAGGCAGAGACTGGATTTGTAAGAGAAAAGAAATCTTCCATTTCATAATTCAAAAGAAGTTATTTTGAGTCACCCATGCCCTTCCACAGTGGAAGAGTCCTTGGATTGCTATTTTTGGAATGTTTTATTCTTCTGTATAAGTGATCTGTTATTTGTGTGAACTTTTTCATTCTTAACTGCTTTTCCAAGTTCTCATATGAGTCTTCGTCTGTGCTATGGAGTTACGTGCAATTTCATGCATCGTTAGATTTGATATTATTGCAGCTATTCATGATATTGAACTGTCAATTCCATAGAATAGCCCACCTCTTTTTACTGAATCACTTCTTTGAAGCAGGGTTTAATGTGCATAGCTCAGATTAGAATGCTATAATAATATTTTTAGTCCCTATGGGATGGCTTCACAGGGGAATTGTCTGGTATAACTTGTGTCTTGTGGTCAAGATGAGCACTTTTGTGTGTATGCAGATGGGATTGACTAGGTGTCTCCTCTCCCCCTTTTCTTGAAAGAATATTTCCTGCAAGTGTAGGAACTGGAAGATGTTGTTTTGGTCGTGCCAACAGATTCCTGCCAAGCAGCAAAGATAAAAGTGCTTAGTTGCAAAAGAAAAATAATGTCCTAGATATGAAGAAGCCCTGTGAAAACTCTCTATTGCCCTATCCAAAGTCTACTGTGCTGTTTTTCCTTTAAATCCAGAGAAATAGGTATAAATGTTGTAGTTTTATATTAGATAGGACCTGAAGACTAGAGTTGCTTACCTTGCTCAGAATGTCCAGGCATCCTAAAACAATGGATCACTTGAGGGTTCATTTAAAATCTGAATGTGAATTTGGTAGGAAAGTGCCTACACTTGCAAGAGTAGGTGGTGGTAGATGTTTTAGCAGCAGCTGAAAGGCCGGCTGGGTGTTGGGTGATGGGAAACAAAAAGGCATGCACAGGGTACTTCTGCTACTGGAAATCAGGTCTGTGTTAGCAGGAAGGGTCTCCCTGTTTCTCTGCTCGGTCCTCACAGCAAAGTTTGGCCTCTTGAATTGAGGTGATTCCCCTTCAGTTATTCCTCTGAAGAATTTAGATCTCCAAGGTAATGACTGGACTGTGGGTAGTATGCTTACAGTACTTTTCCACTTGCTGTCTTTTCTAGAATTATGTGAAATAATGAATTTCTTGCATATCAGCATTCTGAACTTTGGGAAAGGAGGTAGGCAATGAGGTTAGAGCCAGTTTCAGACTATGCCTTTCCCTTTTTAGTTATGAGAAGTTCTATGGTAACATACATGAGCAAATACTGAAATGCAGATGCTGAGTATAAAGCTGGGAATGGTCTGTGGATTTAATATGGGAAATGCTGGAAAACAAACCATCACACTGAAGAAAAAAGCATAAAACATTCCACAGATTTTCAGTTACTAAGTGGAGAAGCATTTTCCTGCACCTGTAGCTGCCTTCTTGAACACGCAGACTTTGCTCCCAGTTGGTGACCTCCCCTATCTGTTGGGAATTACTAATCCCAGTTCAGGCCCAGGTGTGGGCAGTGAGTGGCAACAGGAAAGGCCCCAGCTGTGACTAGTGAGCCTGGGAGCAAAAAATTCCCACCACACTTTGACTTCTTACCTCTATTTAGAAGCCTGCAGCTGCATAATTGTTGGTTTGAGTCATGATTGTTCCCACATCTCCCAGTTGACATTTAATTTTACTTCATACTTCATTAAAACTTTCTATGTGATTATCATTCACATTTGAGGTCAAATTTATTTTTTATCCAAATGTGACCATTTTATATCCATTTTAGAACAACAGGATTGAATATAGTTTGTAATAATGTGTTGAAAAGCTAAAATGTCAAAAGGGGCTTTATCAAGATTGATGTACTAAAAAATAATTAAAGCACCTTGTGATGGGCAGCTGATAAGACAGTAACAGAATAATGTCTTGCAAATATAAAAGTAGAGAGGCTTTGAAATTAACTGTTAGCAAAATATAGTTAGGACTTAGGCACTTCATGAACAATGCCACCCCTTCACCCACCCAGTAGTACCTGGTAATATAAATATTGCTAACTGGGAAGTTATTTTGAGCATTAGAGAACCCTGAGATGGGGATGTGATTGCCTTTGTTCAAGTTGCTCACCTGTACATCCTGCCAGCTGTGAACAGCTCAGGAGTGGGGCAGCCAATGCCCTCAGTCTCATTACAGTTCCTAATGCTGCAGAAAATAGTACCTGTTCAGACTCTTTGTACATGGTGGCAAATCATAATCCTCAGTCCCTTGGTGTTTCAGTACTGGTTGGACAGGTATATTCTTGTTTCTTACTTAGGCTTTGAAATATATTTAGCAGTGTTATCACTGGTAGCAGTGTTAGTGGAAGTTCTTTGAAGTAATCAATGTGTTTGCAAAAAAAGCATTTGCATATTGCAAATATTTTGTGTTCTAACCTTGAAACATATTCCAGAAGGGTTTAATGTGCTAAATAAATTTTAATCAGTTCTCTGTGCTAAAGTTTGCACTGTGTGTTCACTTAAGTATTTGAACTTCTTAGTTCAGTTGACTGTTTGTGTTTGCTTTCTTCTTGGTATATCCTTTTGATTCCACACAGGAATAGATACTTTAGGTTGGAACCATGTATCAAGTGTAACTGAAGGACATTTTACAATTCTTCCTCCCAGTCTGGGAGATAGTACATGTTCTGAAATACTACCTTCCTGAAAAATTGCTGATTTAATACAGTTTGATACTGAAATCTGGAAAGTGATGATTCTCATAGTTAAAAACTTGAGGATGAACCTATTTAAAGGTCACTAATAAGAACTGGTGTGGTCACTTCCATCTAAAACTATTAAAACTCTTCCTAAGGACTGGTGAGCACCTTTTCAGTGCTGTCTTAATGAATGAGAGAGCCAAGTGTCATCGTTAAACTGGGCTACATTAATAGGAAATCTCCTTTTCCCTGTTGCAGTGGTCATTTGTTGTGGCTACAATCACAGAAATTCCACCAGTTGCCTTTCTTCCAAATTTTGTTGTTCAGCGAAAAGTTCTGAAACCTCTACGAACGCAGACAGGAGGAACGATAATGGTAAGGCGCTCTTGATCCACTTTTATCATATTTAAATTTTTTCATCAAACACTGTAAATGTGGGAGTTGTGGTGTTCATGTAACTCAGGTTGCCAGCCTTGGACAGTGCTGCCTTGCCACATACAGGGTTAATTGCAGCTCCTAGATATCAAAGGTGAGTTAGACTGGGAAATGCAAAAGCTAAACCAGCTTTTTTAAGGACTATTTAAGGATCTGAATTCTGAAATGCTGGATTCTGGATAAGTCTTTAGATGTATTTGATTATGGTGATACGCCAGATAACAAAAGTGCTGCCTCCTTTAGTAGGCATGAACTTGCAAAAGCAGAGATGGAGAGGAGGAGGGAGAAAGAATTTCATATAGTTCAAGGTGCTTAAAAAATATTTGGTTGTCACTCAGAGTGAGTCTTGCTGAGCTGGGACCTGCAGAGTTTCCTCTCATTACAGCCATGCTGTCACTGCAAGATTGTCTCAGAAATGAAGGAAATGGTCTGAGAGGGAGGAACTTGGGAAGAGGTTAGAGCTTCCTGATGCTCTGCCTTGGCTATTTCTTGACAGGAGCTCTATGTGTGTGAAGCCTCTTTCAGCTTCCAGCTGGGCAATACGTTGCTCTAGTCTGGTGATGTTTTTCACCATGCTTGTGTTACCTTTAACTCCCAGGGATGTGTTCACTAGTTAGAAATGTGCTCAAGTAGAGGAGGCACCCACCAGTGGTCTGGTTTTTCTCATGGCTCCTGAAACACAGATGCCACTCCTGGGCACTTTGGGATTTGTAGGAATCCAGAAATGGAGAGACATTTTTCTCTTTATCCTATTCTCCAAAAAGGTATTAATCTTATTTGTCACTGACAGAAAGGCTTCCAAATACCCCTGGGTAAACCAGGATTTATAAAAAATTAAGTAGAAAGTAGTAGAACATTTAGTATGTCACTGAAGTTAAAAATATTAGATTTTAATACATGGAGTAAAGGTGGAGGGAAAAAGGTGGTTTTTTTAGCTCTTCTTCCTTCTTTTCCATGATTCTGCAGTTCTTAGCAGCACAAAGAGTGATTTGATTGAAAATGTGTTGAAAGTTAGTCACAGTTTTAGTTACGTAAGTTGATGTAGAAAACTTATTTGTTAAAATATAAAAACAATACACGTGTCTATTGTTAATAGGGTAAAAATAGATATAAAAATGACAGCTGAGTGGTTCGGGGCCATTTTGTACCATCAAAGCCAAAGCGTGCCAAGCTGTAGTGATTTGAACTTGTGCAGAAAATCTGGAAAGACCTGCCAAGTTTTGTGATAAAATCCTAATAAACACGAGAAACAAGATCCTAATGAGCTTTGGAATTTTCTTCCTGTCCCTGAGAACTGAGATAAACAGAACTCCCTGTGAAGGGAGTATTCCAAAAGAGCTCAGCTCAGGAAAGACTGAGAAATCCAGGTGCGAGAAGTGCAGCAGAACCAAAAAGAGAAAGAGTTTCAGGATTTATCTTGAGGCCATGTGCTGTTATTTTTACCTTTTTTTTTCATTATGGAGAAATATGTATGTATTTTAAAAGCAATTTTGATTCATCAGACAATAAAATTCATATGGTACATTTCAGAAGTGCAATTTTCTTCTATTCCTGATGGGCCTGCTTATTACAAAAATTCCTGTTGAGTTTCTCTACTTTTTAATGATATTTTAGCAATGTGGGAAGATTGGGTTTTGCTGAGGAATGCCTAGGAAGTGTGATAAATCACAGATAATGTGTTCTCCCTGGGACTTAGTGGGTTTTATAGTTCAGAAACGGCAATCTTTCCCCAACACCTAATTTGTCTAAGTTGGAATGATCATAGCAGGATCATGTTTACCATGACAATGGTTGTCCTAGTACTGAATTAAAGCTGTTCAAATGTAAATACTTTATATTTAATATATATATAGTTATAACATATAAATAGTTATAAAGACTTCAAAACTGTCCAGACTTCATCTTGGATATGAAATATGGATATGTCCATTATTATGGACAAAAAAATAAAAAAAAATTTAAATGTTTTCTCTCTCCACTTTTTTTGTTTTTTCCACTTGTAACTAGTAATATCTTCAAGTAATATTGATTTTAACACACCAGTTAAGGAATTCTTAAAACACTTTTTTAAACTTAAACACTTTTTTGACTTTTCCTGGCCAAAATAATCAGGATTTTCAGTTAAAATTCCATTAGCCTTGTCTATATCTTCTCTGTCAATACTTTCCCTTCCCTGACTGTCATTTGAGTTCAAAGTAGAGATACAGGCACATTCCTGTACTTGAGGGGAAAATATCAATACTATCCTATATTCTGCCTGTTCTATCATATAAAAAAATAAAAAAGTCCCAGGACATTCCACACTGGAGCACTTGTCTGGTCCCATCCCCAGCTGGAACTATGGTTTTTTATGTCTGTGTTCCAGGATTTTGAGCTTACATTCCTCTATTTGTGCATGAACAGGAAGGACATCAGGAGCTTATTCTCATTTTTTACTCTTCCCAGCACTGCACTTTCCCTTTACAGTTGCCAGAGAAGGAAATATAGATGATATAGGAAATACTCTTTCAGCTCCTTATGCTGAGGGTAGTTTTCTTGGAAGCAGACATTAGGTGTTGCCCCATTCATTTATGGAATTCCAACTGCTTTTTTTTTTTTTTTTAAGGCAGGAAAGCTTGCTGTGGATAGAGGATGGGCCATCAATGTGGGTGAGTACAAATTCAGTGATGCCCTAAATAGTGAGTTAAAAGCATTTGATTTTAATTTACATCTCTCTGCAAAGCCCATCAATGTTTTTAGTATCTGGCTTTTGTTTAGTATGTAGCTTTTCACCTTTTCACCATTTTCCTGTTCAGGGGGTGGTTTCCATCACTGCTCCAGTGACAAAGGGGGAGGATTTTGTGCATATGCTGATATTACACTGGCCATCAAGGTAAGAACTGCTCTTAAACCACCGTTTTCTGCTGTTTGTGCAAATGGAGGAGAAATTCACATAAATTGCTGAGAACTAATTTACATCCTAATAGGAGAAAGTGAAGCCATTTCCAGATGGGCAGGAATAGGGATATGGAGAGTTGTAAAGTGGAAAGGAAGAGTTGCAGGGGTTAGAATTATAAATGTAAATAGGTACCACTCTAATTGCATTGATAATGTTATCTTTCAAAAAACATTTCAAATCAAACCAGATGGATTTCTAATATCCTCAGTGATAATTCTGGCATTGCAGGTGAACCTGGGCATTCCACAATGATTTCGGTGGTTACAGTCAAGACAAATGCAGAGACAAAAAAATCCCCTCTCTGAATCAAGCTCCACTGTACTGGGCTCAGACTGGTCCAGATTAATGAATGAAAATATGAGTGACTCCAAAATAGTCACCAAATGGAAATGAATACATTTAGTATTTAGCTGTTGAATGGCTGAAGTAAGAGCCTTCTGCAATTAGGACATATTTTTATCACATGAACTATAGTATATTTATATACCAGAATATTTATAAAATATCAGTCAGAATATTTATAAAGTATCAGTAATAATCAAACATGAAAGGGTTCTAATGATTGCAGCACACCATGTGACATAACATCCTAATTTCTATACATGGTAATTTGCAGAAAAGTAATCCACAGTGTTCTTTTTTCACCTACCATTAAAATACAGTTGAAAAATTATAGTGGGTGACAGTACCAAATCTTTGGGTTTTACTACCTCTACCTTAAAGATGGCAACTTAGCAAATTTAAGATTCAAAGTAAAAATGTCTTTTCAGACAGAATAAGGAATGAATTCTGTCACTAAAAGTGTCTCTGAGGCATGTAGTCCTTACAGCAGTTTTTCCTGAACACTGAATATTAGGCTGTTGCAGTTGGATGCTGTTACTGATTCCACTCCAGCCTGTGGCAGTGCAAGTGCCACCATCAGCTCTGTGATCCCTGGGTGGGCCTGGCCTCTCTCTTTTATCTGGTGGAAATATATAGGGTTTTTATTTTAACAAAAAATATTTTTTATATCAATTAATGAGTTGTTTTTATTAAATGTATGAGAATTGTCTCCGTTTATTTGGTGACTGAAACATATAGATGTGCCCTACTTTCAAATTCCAACAGTCATGCACGGTGCATTCTTCAACTTCCAGTTTCAATCTGTCACCTAACTTTATAAATTTCTCCATGTTTTTCCTTGCTTATATATTCAGTTCTTATTTGAGAGAGTACAAGGAGTATCTAGAGCCGCAATTATTGATCTGGATGCCCATCAGGTGAGTAGTTTACCTGTATTCAATGCTGCAGATGTTTAGCTTGAAATACAAGTGTGTAATAAATACCTTTTTTTAATACAATCATAATATCACAGGATATAAAGTTAATCAGAGATGATGAAAACTGAAGAGTTGATTCTTCAAATATTTTATGGTCCAAAAGGCTCTTAAGCCAGTTTAATAAAATTAACCTGAGTTGCAGCTCCATCATGTGGCTGCATGTAAAAATCTTGCTGTGTTGCACTCCCAGCCTCCAGGGATGAGAAACAAGGATCTCTCCAGGCAGAATCCCAGCTAGTTCTGAATGCCTGGTCACTGCAACAGCCTCTGCAGGGGAGGGATTTGACCTTCAGTGGTTTAATTCTAAGCCTAGATGCAGACTAATGAAGTAAAGGATCCATCCCTCTTCACCTGGTGAAGTGACTTACTGTGGTACTGAGATCAAATCTCAGCTTTGGTAGGATTTGAAAAATAAATTCTGAAAGGATGGAAATAGTATTTTTAGAAAGGAGTCAATGCACCAAAGTGATTTCACCTGACGCATTTCAGGTGATTTATTATATGTAAAGAAACCATTTTTACACAGTTCCATGGCACTGAGGAAATCTAATGGCTGGAGGTTTTTAGTCTTCTCTCATTTCTCTTACATGTCCTAAAATCACCATGATAACAGGACACAGACTATGCAGTAGAAAGATGTTTTGTGTTCACGGTTCTCTTCAGCCTCTGTGAGGCTGTGTGGTTTTGTTTTGTGCTATATGAGGATGATTTGGTTTGCTTTTGAAAAAGTCTTGGAATGTATTTTGGTTTTCAGATGTGCTGGTAGTCTCAGTGTGCAAATTAAAACACCTGTTGTTTACTTTCTTTGGGGGATGAGAGGTATCTGAAGTAGCTCAGCAGGTCCTGTTTAAGGATGCAGATATTCTCATCTTGTGACTGTTCCAATTCTTAGTGCAGTGGTGAGTTTTACTTCTCATAGGGAAATGGTTCCCCCAGAGGCTTTCATATTTCTAGGCTTGCATGCATGAACTATTATTTGTGGACCAAAGATGCTGAAGAAATAAATAGAGTTGCCGTTTGTCAGCGTAAATCCTGAATTACAGCAGATATATCTATGGAAATGTCTGTTTCTGTAGTTTAACTGAAATTCTGGGGATAGGGGGTTTGGTCCTGTATGATACACTGATTTAAACAAAATTATCTGTGGTGGGTTAGTGATTGCTGTGGTAAAATGATTAATATATTAGTGAAAATTATAGAGAGCCAGAAGAATAGTATTTAAATTCAGAAATGAGGAGGGGGAATTGTTCTAAATCTAAGCCTTCTCTCGAGCATCTCTCTTTGCATCCAGTTCAATTTATGTAGCAAATCTCTGGTGTTAAACTGTTGGGTTCTTAGTGTTTGTAATTTTGCCAGGGAATACTTACCTCACCAAGGGTTATCAGGAGAGCTGTAGTCTGCTTTATTTAGTCATTAATTCTAACATAAGAATACTCACTATTCCTGCAGCAGTTGAAAGTGACTTTTTCCTGCACATTTGGAAGATGATGGATCTGTTTGATGGTCACAGTTGCTTTTGTGATGCTCTTGAGGACATGTAGCTTCTGATTTTTGCTTATTTTTCTTACATGTCTAATGAGATCTATGCAAATTACCTTCAGAGAGACAAGGATTTTATTTGTGGTAATACTTGCAGTCTTCAGACTGATACTGTCATGCCCCCCCCCCCA